TGAGGACTGGAAGCAGAGACTGGCTGCCTCCCCTAGGACATTCAATCAGCACAAAAATAGCAAAGCAGGCCCTGACTGCATCATCAGCATCCCGATTCCTGTTACAACTGTCGGCCCGGCCCAGGAGCCTGAATCCCTGGCTGACTTTCACAACTTCCCACCACTTAGAGCTGTGAAAGTTTTAATGCTTCCAGAGTATTACGAGGGAGTGGAATCCAGGTAAGAGTGAGGGAGCAGGAAGGGTTGTTATTGTCAATGTCCCACTGGTACACCTCCTAAAACCAAACTGGACTGCTGTCACTCCTTCCTCCCCAGCATCCAGTGCTGCAGCAGCTCCTGGAGCTGCACTGCCCTCATTGTTTTTCCAGCTTATGCTTCAGGATTTCTATTTCTGCTCTGGGACAACTGCCATTTTGTTGTCTAGTGTTTCACAAAGGGATTATTATTTCCCTTCCTGTGGAATTCATAGACTTTGGAAAAGCTCCTGTTAGCAGCAGTGACATTCTTATTTTAAAAGAAAAGAATGTCCTGCCTGTAAATAAGCATGAGGGCCCACAATATCTATGATTGTGATGTGGTTTTACAAGTGTGACAGAGAGCATCAAGAGACATAGTTCCATGATTGTTCCCCCAAATATATTAGTTTGAGCTTGAGAATAGTGTCTTAATAACATGGCCCTGCTGTGATATAATACACTGCACAAGGTTTCTATAGAGCAAAGCAATTTGTAAGATAATAAATAATATCTGTAAAAAAACGCAACAAAAGACAAACAGCAAAGATCACTCCTTGTGCAACCCGAGCCACTACTAAATAAAACAATAATTTGCATGGTATTTCAGTGAAAATCAACTCCAAACAGCTCACAAGGTAAAAATTAACAGCAAATCACAGAATCATCAAGGTTGGAGGAGACCTCTAAGGTCAGCAAGTCCAACCATCAACCTGTCACTGCTGGAACCCCTAAACCAGATCCTCCAGTGCCACATCCAGACACCTCTGAAACCCCTCCAGGGATGGTGACTCCACCACCTCCCTGGGCAATATCCCAGGGCCTCAACACCACAACAGGGAAAACATTTCTCCTCACATCCAATCTGACTCTGCCCTGGCTCGGCTCAAGGCCATTCCCATTATGGCCATGCCTCTTGCAGCTGCTTTTTCTCTATGATGGGTGTGTGAACTTCTGCCTCATACCTCTTACGTCCTGTAGCTCTGTAAAAGGCCCTTTTTTCCCTGCCCCATCCCCTGGCTAAGTAATATCACTGTTGCAGGGATTTTGCTGCCCTCGTTGCCCTTGGCTGGACTCACTCCAGTGCCTCAATGGCCTTTGGGCAGTGAGTGCCCAAAGCTGAGCACAGCACTGAGCTGGGACCTCCCCAGTGCTCAGTCCGGGGAGAGAATTCAGTGAAAGCAAACTCTAAACAGGCTCACTAGATAACAATGAACATGTCACACAAACACTGAAGTCTGATTTAAGATAAGGACAACGTTAGAGACTTCTGATATCTACAGGTACTTTATTTAAAGCAACGCATGTGTCTAAGTTCAACAAACAAATCTGGAAGGCCCCAGTACTTACCCTGACTACACTGAAGTCCAGTTTAGTTTCTTGTGCACACTGGAGTATGAGCTGAAAGCAATTTTTACTTTGATTTGTCATTCCATTCTCATAGTAACGCTGTAGTATCCTTTGTTGTTCTACAGTAAACACAGAACGCAGATTCATCTGAAAATAAAGGAAGAGACTCTGAAAGTTGGAATGAAAACTTGCGGAATGCAGAGGCTCTCACTTATGCTTGTGATAACATTAAGTGTTGACATGTTTCCTCTACAGAGTCTTTTACCAACATTTTTCCCTACTTCCCTGTACCAGTCAGCATTAGTGATTCCTTTGTGACAGACTGGAGCAGGTGAATTATATGTTTGGAAAAACACTGACAGCCTTTCATAACTAAATAAATAAATATTACATCGTGTTATTAAGCCCAAGAGTCTCTAGTTTCAAAGAAAAAGCTTCACCCTTACAAAGATAAATGAAGTAACACAAGCAACTCCAACACTATCAGCAGGTCTGTTTCCTCTCCCCTACGAAAAAGAGACAAAATCTGGGATAAAATAAAGGTGACCATCTGACACGAGTAAAGTTTCCACTGGCTCCAACTTCAGCAAATCCTACACTCCATGGTGGCTGCTCCTTCTGCTCTGTCAGCACCAGCAGTTCCAGCTGCAAAGTCACAAAGATCAAGGACTGAAGACCAACTTGGGGCATAAAACCCAAAGAGAAGGGGCTTGGTCAGCTCTGGTGCTGCCACTCAAAGCAAACACTTCAATATGAAGGAGGAGGGACCACCCATGTCACAGCTGCTGTGACCCTGCACCCCAGGGCTGTAAATCAGGAGTTTTAAGAACATGTAAGGGTTGTTTTCCAGGGATGTAAGCCAATGTTACTCAGGATGTGTTCCTGCCCCTTGGCTTTGTCTGAAGTGGTGCTGAGCTCCTCAGCACCCTCGCCCAGGTTTAAGAGCCCCAGACTCCTCTCAGGCCAGCAGCAGCTCCTCAGGTCCCATCCTGAGCTCTGGGTGCCCAGAGAGCTTTGCTCTGGGGGCACAGGAGGTGGCCTGGGCCAGGGGAGCAGTTCGATGACCATGTTAAACCAGACACGGCTTTGTTACTCCCTGGCTTGGGAAGTGCAAACAGCTAAGTACTACCAAGTGCAGAACAGACTCCTAATGGCAAACCAGAGCATTATGCTCTTGTTACACAGGCTGCACAGGCAAAGAATAGAATCCTCTGGTTAGACAGCAGCAAAGAAGAGCCCCATCAGCACAGATTCCCAGAACAGGGCCTTTGTCTGCCCCAACAGGAGGCCACCAGCTGAGCCACTGCAAACACCAGTCAGGAACAACCTGTGTCCAACTTCATGCCTTGGGAAGCAAAAACATCACCAGCCACAAGTTGTGTTTAACACAGTTCATGTACCACAATAAAGCAGAATGAATTCAAGATTAAGAACCTTCACCATCATCCTGTAGGAAAACTAAGGGTGTGAAGGAACCTTTTGCAGCTCCCAAGCTTTTAGTTGCTGATTTTGGAAATTCTGGATGGAAAGGAGAAGAGTGGCAATATATACCTCAGCTTTGCACAAGAACTGCTTCTATTATAGAGCAAATAAAATTATCAAGAGCTCAAAAGCAAGAGCAGACACCCAACTGCTTTCACATTATTAAGCAAGATGATTATACTATGCAGTGGTAATGGATGTTAAGAGTTCAACAGGCCTCTATAAAGCAAAAGATTAACATCTAGAATTTGCAGTAAAATGCTTGTAGGCCAAAGCTCTGACTTCAGAGTTTACTTTCCTTCCTCAGTCAACAGACAATAGAAAAATCACTACCTACCAATCTGAAAAACCTACTGTTTCTTTGTAATAACAGCTAAAACAGAAGATGACTCTTCAATCACATTTTTTACCTCGGATCCCAACCTTTATTCAGTCTCTCAACCCAGTGCATTATTAAATGCAGCACCAGCAGCTACATGACAAATCAGTTCTGCCTCCCCCAGAACATGTCCTCAGTCACAGCCAGAGCTGGGCAGAAGAAAACTCTTGCTCTGAATAATCTGCTGCTTCAAGAAATTTATGGCAAGCAACAGAGGAGACAATTATTAGCCCATTAACAAATCAATAAAGTTCGTAATAATCTACTTTATAATGTTGAGAACTGCCTTCAGATCTCCCATGTGGATGATGATGTGGCCACAAACTGATTTCTGTCACTTTTAAAGAACACATAAGGGTCAATTTTGGGATTCTTTCCCCCCTGCATGACTGGCAGGACCCAGCTCACACTTCTGTGTAGTACCAGTGGTCCTGTTTTATTCAGCCAAGCTCAGTTCCCACAAATGATCCATCTGGAATATGAACCTTCCACCCTTTCCAGATGCAGCTGAAGTCTGTCATCCCACAGCTCCAGCCTTCCCATGCACAGTCTCATCACAGAGTGTTCTCCAAATATTCCAAACCAACTGCCACGAAGACTCTTCCAACTGCAAGATAAATTTTTAGGGTCAGCCCTGATGGCCTATGAGGGAAGATGTGTGTCAGGGCCTTGACATGTTTTTTAATGATATGGACTTCTGTAGTCAAGGTCACTTCTGGGTTAAAATACTTTCATTGTTGTATTTGACATCTGTAATTTAGATAAAGACAGGGTGGAGCATTTTGATTGAATCACTTGAACTTCAGATAAGCCTATGTGCATTGCATGACAGGCTTTGCCCAGCTAAGCTTGAGAGGTCACAGACTGGTTTAATAACTCATTTTTGCAGTGTATTTTAATCACTTGTAAGCTACACCTGACAACCAAAGTACTGGTGAGAGTCCTTAGTAACCTGTGCCTTGAATCCAGTAAAGTACAGCTCAGAGGATCTGTGCAGAGACCATCACAAACTGATTTCAATTAGCAGATTGTAGGACCCTGCAGACACAGCTATGGCACCTGAGCCATAACTTTAGTTTACATTCCAGCATCCAAACTTGCATAATTATTAGATGAGAATTTATTAAAGTTTTTTGTGTCTTAGATATACTGAATCCTAAACCAATAGACAGTTCTGTACCGTTTTTCACTGATTTCACACTAGTGTGGAGGACATTTGGCAATATTCCTTCTCTGGCAGGTTAAAAGTTCATTTATATTATCATAGTTCATTCATTTTATTATAGAATCCCAGAATGGTTTGGGTCTGAAGTGACCTTAAAGCTCATTTTGTTCCACCCCCTGCCATGGGCAGGGACACCTCCCACCAGCCCAGTTTGCTCCAAGCCTTATCCAACCTGGCCTGGAACACTCCCAGGGATGGAGCGGCCACAGCTTCTCTGGGCAACCAGTGCCAGAGCCTCGGCACCTCACAGGAAAGAATTCCTTCCTAATCTATAATCTAAACCTACTTTCTGTCCATGTGAGAGAGATATTATGTCACCTGCAAAGTACAGATGGAAATCAGGTTGTTATCAGCAGTTCTTAAGTGCTTATTTAGAGTACCCTAAAACAGTACCCTGTGTTGAACAAACCAATTACCGGATGTTTGGAAGCTCCATGAGAAAACCACAAAGTCCAAAGCCATTATCCATGAGGAGCTGCCTCTGCATATTCCACCTTCACAGGCAACAAGCTCTGCTCACTTCCCATACCTGTCACACCTGGCAATTCACCAACTCAGCGTTCAAACATCTGTAGGAACACGTTACTGTCTCTGAGGCAGATTAATACAGGATATATTCATCAAAGGATTACACCGACTATTTTCTTGAGATGTTTAGCATCAGTTTTCACAGTTAGAACAAGATATTAACTCTTACATTTTCCTTAATATGGGAAATAACTAACAAAGTGCCAAAATGACTAAACATCAAGGCAGTCACATCAGTATCAAGGGAATCAGTGGGTCACACACTTTCATCACAGACTCTTATTCAAAACAACCTCAGTAACTTCCAAGGAAATAAACTCCTTTTCCCAGTTGGTGCACCTGTGGAGCACTCCACTCTCTTCCGGATTTCTCACCTTTGTCTTGAACCTCAGACTCCAAGTTAGAAATCCACATGGATTTTTATCATAATTTCATTTTGATCTTGACTTGCCAAGCTTAGCAAACATGCATGTGAGCTTTGGGGAGGCCAGGTGTCCAGCTGGTTGGCAACACATTGGCACTGAAAAGAGAGTTTGTTACAGAAAAGAACTCTGTGAAACTTAATAGAAATCAGGCAAAGCATTATGCAAACAAATTCCATGACTGTCAGGTGTATTTTCACTTCAAAAAGAGACAGAGGTGGCAAAGCAGTGTTTAAGCTTTCAACATCTGCCTGTTCTAATGACATAAAGCAGCTTTGACCAAGTGTGTTGCAGTCTTGACAGTGGAGAGAATCATCAATGACAGGCTTCCTCCTCCCTTCACCCCGCTACACATCTTAGACCAACTAACATCATTGAACTCCTCACTCCAGTGGTTTCTCACTCCTCTACCTACTCCTCAACCCATCGATACAGAGACGTTGTTCTTCATTCCCTTTCCAAACTGAATACGAATTAATAAAACTTATCACAGTAAGATCCCCCTGCTCTATGCTGTGGTTTAGGAGGTGTAAATGCAGTCCAAGTGCCAGGTCAGGCACTGGGGACATCTCAGGGTGGTGAGTGGTAAGGACAAAGATGGAAACTCCATGCCCTTCGGTTTGTCCCAGACTGCTGAGCATAAGCCTCAGGAAGGACAATTCCACTGACACCAGCTCCTCATCAGATCACATTAAGGTTGTTCTTACAGCTGAACTTCTTCAGGCTTCTTTAGCTGCTTGAGCAACTTTTCCCCTGGTATCTTCCTTCCTTCCCTTCTGTGGAAGGGCAGAATGAGTGGAGAGGGGAGAACACAAAGAACCAAAGCAGAGTTTGCTCCTGAAGTAGTTGTGCATTTGCTTCAGGTGCTCAGGTACTCAGTGTTCTGTCCCACAGGGTTTGCTGCAATGCCCAGTCCTTCCACCCTAGTTACTTCATCCAAGAGCCAAAATTAATTCTCTCTCCAGGGAGACCTGGCAGAGACAGGTCGTTCATTTTTAGCAGCTAATAGAAACAGCCTGATGTCAAGGAGTACCACAAAAGGAAGAACAGCAATAAGAAAATGAGAATAATCCTGTATCAACGATCCCCTGATTTGAAAAACAAATCACTC